AGCAGGAAAAGACTACATATAGAAAGGCAAGTTGGAGCAGAGATCATAGGTAAATTATGAGCTGATTTGTTTACTTTTGCTGGAGGTGTTAAGCAGGTAAGTGCTAGAGCAGGAAGTAAAACTAAACAGCGGGAACAAAATTCAGAGGTTTTTATTGCATTTGAAAAGAAGCCCAGACACCACCTCTGCCCAGAGTGGGAGGGTGAGTTAAGAAAGCGAGCGCTTTGGAAATGCCTTTCACTCCTTTTCCTTTATCTTGCTTCCCTGCCGGATAGCCCATAAAACCCGGCGTTCCCGGATGAACCTCCCTCAGGAAGTAACCTGCCCGAGAGAGCCGGTCCTACAGGCTCGCACGGGGGGGGGAGGTTTGCTCTGCGGGCGCCCGGCGACTGTTCCCCACTGGCGCCGCACTACGGGGGGCAAGGCGCACCGGCACCAGCCGCGACCGGGGGGCTCCGCTCCCGGGGCCGGGCCGGGCTGCCCGGCCGCCGGGGTCCCGCCTGGGTCGCTCCGCCGGAGGACCAAGGGCTGCAGGACGCGGTCCATGGAAGTGCCGTCGGTAGGATACTCACTGTTACGGTCGGATCCGGCGCTGGTGTAGTGCCTGCCTCCGTTCCTGGCTTGATTCAACGTGCTGTTGCTGCTTGGGCTCGCTGCAGCAGGCTTAACGACGTGTGAATAAAGTATCTCTGTGGCATCGTTCTTGAAAGCCAAGTAGCTTTTCGTGAAGATGCAAGCTAGGAGAAAGCCATAGAAGTGAATGGCAGAGAGAAGCATGGTTGGTTCTGTCTCACAGAGCTGGATGAAATCTTTTTCTCCTGCTTCTTCTGGGTAACTCTGAAATTGCTCTTGAAGGTTTCCTTTATATATTCAGTGAGGCTTGGCATTCATTCAGGTGTAAAGTTGTGGATAGCTTCAGAATGAAAACCCACAAAAGGGGTGGGATCCCTACAAGAGCCTGTGAAGACCTTTTACCAATAGGAGAGAAGACTGCAGTAAAGGAGGAGTTAGATGCACTAATTGCAGGATTCCTATTTGGGGCTTTTGAGGGTATCAGAAAACTCTTAGGCACCACACAGCAGCATTCGGGCTGAGACCTTCGAGGCTGCCGTCTCTGCCCTGCCATTCCACATGGCCCTGCTCGCCGGGCGTTTTTGTGTGATCTGACTTAACACGGTGTCAGAACCAATTTCTCGTGCTCCTGTAATGTCAAGTTACATCTGCTCTTCTCAAATGTGACTTTCAGGAAACTTGCCAGCTCTGTAAGGATGCAAAATATTGTAGAACGTACAGAAGACTGCTAGTTACACTTAAGCTCTTTACTATATACCAAGATGACTTAAAAAAACCCAAAACTGTTAATTATTTAAAACTGCCTCTGGATGCTTTAAATTATGCAGCTTTGATCAACAAGGAGCACTGCTAGAGAAATTACTTGTTTTAGGGGAATATTCTTGCCATGATGTGCAGAGTAACATGTATTTCTGTATCACCAAGCATAAAAAGCATTTCCTCTAGCATTTCTTCCTTCATATGTTTGTATGCTAATACAAACATATCCATATTCATAGCCTCTCACTATGCTTATTCACCAAACTAGTCTTTTTTAGGTTTTTACATTGCCTAGAGCATTCTTACACTTTTAATGTATTATTTTGTGTGATAAAGACAACAAAGAGTTAAGAATAGTCCTTATTTTGACATACTGTTTTACTGTGTCACACACTTATTTGATTTTACATACAATTACTTGGCCCAAATCCAAACTCTAGTGTAAGTTGAGATGCTGTCAGTAGGCAAATGCTTGTCTGCATCATAGTGAATGCTGTTTTATTTGTTATAAATAAAACAACAGTGATCAACACTGAAAGCTATAGTGTTCTAATTAAAAGGAAACATTTTTCCTAGGAAAAAGCACAACCATGCAGGAGGCCACATATGTAAAGATTAAACTCTCTGGAAGTGAGTTGATATCTATAGAGCCATTCTGGATTTTTTTAAAATTTTTTTTCTTTTATTTGTGTGTGTTCTATAGGATACAGGTCAGTTACCTCTACTGTCAGGGTCAAAATCTCAGTCATTCAGAAAACTCAACTTACTTTCATCCTAGTCACAAGCAGACTATTGTCTGAATCAGCAACACTTTCCTCTTAAATCACTAAGGAAGTTACCATGGATATCAGCAGGAGTAAGGACAGATCCACAGTAAGTGCCAAATTGATAGCCTTTGCTTAAAAGACACAGGAAAACAGGAGTGTTGCAAAGTGAAGTGAGTTTTACTGGCAGAGCTGTGTGTGGGGAAGTTGACTTGATTGCCTGCATCTATTATGACTAGCCCAACCCAGTTCTGGAATAACAAGAATGTTGCAGCACAGAGTGAGATCTTTCAGCAGAGTAATGTATGGAGGAGTGGGATCACTGCTAACTCCTGACAAAACTCCCAAGTTCCACTCTCATGGAACATCTTATTTAGCCACAAAAGCAAAGGTGTGTGTTCTACTGTAGCTTTAAAAAAAAAAAAAAGTAAAAAATAAGTTTCCTTAAGCAAATTATCAAAGAAGACATGTACATTACAGACCATTAATATTTGAGCATTATTTTTCTTCACCAGCAGCTAACCCAAGGTCTACTTTATCTGTGTTCACGTCCTACTTAATTTTTTTCTCATACTCACAGATCCTACAGATCTTCACACATCTCACCTTCCCTGCAGGATAGTCTCTGTGATGAACTGAGCCAATATAATTAAAAGCATGGAACCTATTTTCTAGTTATCCACAGTACCTGTGTATACCAGTCAGGGGACCTCTTCCTAGTAGAAAGATTTTCCCACATTAGATGAGACTTGGGAAAGTCAGAAGTTTCTTTGAGAGCTGTTTTCTTTGAAATAAGGCATATAATCTTCTCACAGGAAAAATGTATGGGAACTTGGAGTGGCTATAGGACTGGGTCTGCAAGGTCTGAGCTTGCTATGCCTCAAACTTTTCAGCTTTCAGTGAAAGCTAAAAAGAATCCTTTCAACTTTGGGCTATGTGAAACCATCAAAGTTGTCATATACTTCTCTTGGTCTCGTCACTTAGAGAAGGAATATCTCAAGACAAGCCTCCTACAGCCTTTTTAAAGGAAAATTTTGGCCCTGAATTTGCCACAGGAAAGATAACACAGATTACCTCATTTTTCTGTGCACTAGACACAGAGTGGTCATTATTTTAATTTCATTTGTATTTTCCTCTTCTTAAAAATATTGTATGAAAACTTCACTATTTCAGATCCTTGGTCAGTACTGTCATCCTCCCTGCTTTGAAAAGCAAGCAGGCTTCTGAGGAGTTTGTCAGTTAATTTGATTCATACTTTCTTTTTGTTAAACCTAGTGCTTGCAGTCTTTCATTTTTTTCTGAGTGAACCTGAGAGAGATTAGAGGGGGAGGGATATTGGTCAGTCAATTTTAGTTATTTTCCTGAGTGAACTTCACAAAGGGTGTTTCTTAATGCTTAGCTCAGAACAGGTTTCTAGTCTTGAAATATGTTTGCCTTAATTGGTTAAATGATTCAAAGGTAAAGGCTGTAAGTTACCTTTGTAGCCTCCAAAATACACTTATTCTAGTCAGATTCAGTGGCTTGAATAGAACATTGCTCTGTGCTTAATGTCTAATATTGGCCATAAGGAATATATTACACAAGGTCTTTGAAGTGTGCACTGGCTTCCTTTTTCCCTCTGGGCATAACTCAGGATGTTCTTATTGATCTATAAAACCCTATATGCTTTGAGTCCTAGGCAATAAATTCTCTCTCCTTTATCTTCCATTATGACGCTTAAGATCAGCTGGGGGATGCTGACTGTATCTGAGTGTCCGGAGAGGTAGAATGCTCAGTGTGAAGGGCCCAGGAGACAAGATTCCACTGCTCCTACAGATCCATGAGAGCTCCATTCTGCTACTTGGCATGGTGTAAAGGCCATTCTTTAGTCAGATCCTTGAAGGTGACTGTGAGGAAGGCACAGGGAAGAAACCCATTAACCAGATCGACGTAAATGTTTGTACATATGTCCAGGGATAAAGGGGTGCATTTAACTACATGCTTGTAACTGTTTCTGGTGTCTTAAGACCCTTGCTTCTGAATGAACTTAAACACAGTGGTAAAGTAATTAATTGCTATTCAGAAATAAGGGTATCCAGAGGTATACCTGAAACCTTGTTTTCTCCATTTTCTATAATGGAAAAAAAGCCACACTTCTTTCAATGGATGTAGAATAATCCAAGGCATATGTTCTGTAAATATCCCAAAAGAGAATTCCCTGATTTGTGGTCATTTGTAAGTCTGTCAGGATCCCATCCTCCATGTTTCTTAGACACTACAATGATGTCCAAAGGGCAAAGTTCTGTGCAGAGTGCACACACCTGTCTAGCAGCACAAAACAGCCACAGGGGATAGAAGGGTATGCACTGACAAGTACAAATGACTGCCAGAGAGCTTTGTCTTTGCAACCCACATGGTCGCTGAACATGCACAAAATAAGAAGGAGTTCCCAATTTTTCATAAAACTTGGGCCTGCCAAGTTTTAATAACAACAGGAAAAGGCCAGAATTAGAATGGAGGCTGCATAGTAAACAAGGTTCAAAAATAATTTTTATATTTTTATTTAGTCACAAAGAGAAGACCATTAGGGCATTGCACTTCTGATTTGTTACCAAAGGCAGATACTCTGAGAATAGTCCCAGCTCAGATAAATGACTGCAAAAAAGAAACTGACATTTATTACTTTACACCTTAAAACAGAAATGACTGTCAGGCTATTTTCTGTTAAGCAATATGCATATTAGTAAGGTACTTCAAAGCAGCATAAAATGTGATTTGGAGCATGATAAGAGAATTTGTCTTAAAGTGAGGTAAAATTGTAATAAATGCAACTTTAGAGAGCTCATAAGCTGTTGTGCAACAAGTTAGCATAGTTTTAAAGCTCACACAGAAAATATATTCTATAAATTCTCAAATCAAATATTTTTTGAATACTGAGGTTTTTCAATATTTTTAAATTTTCTCAACAAATTACATTTGCAAGATTCAATTGAGAACATGAGATGTATTCTCATTAATGAGAATTACTAATTAATTCTGATTTATGTCTTCTTCATCTCCTTAAGATTTCCTAATGCTTTTTTTTTTTTTTTCTCCTTGCTTTTATACATAATGTAGACAGAATAATTTAGGTCAGGCTGTGGCTTCAAAGGAGGCAATTTATCACTTTTATCAAAAAAGACATTATATACAGACTGAAAAGGGGAAAATATTTACATTTATTTTGAAATTCTGGAAAAATTGACAGCACATTAAGGACTGTCTGCGCTAATTATAATTGCCATCTACTCTTGAGCATATTCACAAAGATTTTAACACCTGATCGAGGACAATGTGGCCTATTATAATCCAAAATACGTTTCATGGTTTTCTGCATATGTTGAAGCAGAAAGAAAAACAAAACAGGGTTTTACAAATGAAAAAAAAAAATAAATCAGAGCCTGTTTGTTTGGGGTAACATTTTTGGAAACTCTTAGGTGACAATGAAAAGTAACACATATTTTAAAGAGGCTTAGGGCAATAAAGCAGGATTTTTTAAATATACATATACACTGAACTCAACTGGACTTCAGTATCTACATACTTTCTAAAATGTTGCCCTAAGGACTGAAAGTCCTATTGATTTTCAGTGAGCCAGTCACTTAAATGCTTTTGAAAATTTCACCCTCAGGTTAAAATTCTGAAACTCCTACTCAGTGTTAAGCAGGCAAAGTCCCATCAACATGCCCCAGTTGCAAATAAAATAGAAGCTGAGTAAAGGTTTTGAAGTCTGTCTTGTTTCTTTACATGTAATTAACTGAACTCTTAATATATCACTATGTCTCAGTAAACTGCTTTGTGTTTCTAATTACGTGGTCTGAAATGATTACAGTGTATTTTAAAA